CCACTGCTAAAGACCTTTTGGTACTGCAATGACAATGTCTCTCTCTCTCTCTCTCTCTCTCTCACACTAAATAAATTATAAATTCATGTAACTGCAAGTACATGTGCGTTTTCAGGATGTACATTTTTAAAAAGTCTTATGTTTGGGTGTCATTCGTTATTATAATTTAGTACCAAATTTATTATTAATAATTTGTCTTTTAAGAATATTAAGTACTTTTGTCAAAAGCCTAGCCTTCTTGACAAAGTACCTTGTCAATCAAAGCAGAATTGGAATGTGGACGTATATTGTAGCGTTAGCGTTATGTTTAGATAAACGATTAGAAATGACAGAGTAGTAATGATGATGTTCGATAAAAATTTCCTGGATAAGTTCAAATGGGCAATGGCTGTCCTAATAATAGATGTTGACCGATTTCTTGGGAGTTAAAAAGTTAATAAAACAATTACTTCACGATCTCTTCCGTCGACAATAAATCCTGTCGCCATTAAAGTACTCACTATCAATCAACATGTGGGTACTTTTATCATTGGATCATTCACTCGATCTGATGTTTGTTGTTTGCTGCTTGAAATGGCTGTGTAGTTTGTGTTTTGTCAGTCGGGTTATCTTACGAGTTTCGTTTGTGTGTAGTGTGGTCCTCCTACATTAACTATTACAATCAATGTCCGTTTGTGACATGCCCTATCCTTGGGTTTATACAGAATGAATTTTATGGATTCCGAAACAAGCTCTAAAGCTTTATATTTTCCAAATGATACTAAATTTTGTACTGAATTGCACCTGGCTTTAAAACTTGTAAGTCATCGCGTCATCATCATCATCGTATCATTATCACGACTATCGCCACCATCTTCTTCGGCATCATCATCATCATCATCATCATCAGCAGCAGCAGCAACAGCAATTCAAATCTTTGTTATCACCATCACCTTCGCCATCGTCACCACCCTATACTCACAGTTGTTCATAGGGAGCTATCGAAATTCAGAACTATATAAAAGTTCTACGGGTAATGTCATAGAAGTCTTGAAGAAACTTTACGGGGTGTTGGTAATTTTTTTAAAAAATGGTGTGATCGTTCAACTGGTAATATAGCAATCACCAAAGCAATTCTTAATTAAACGTCATAATTCTTATAAATTCATTCATTTATCACCTTCCCTCTTGGACATTATTATAACCCATCAGATCCTTCTATCCTGCACCACTGTCAAGCCCAGGATCGAACCAGGCCCGTAACTGGGGGGGGGGGGGCGCAAAAAATTGACGACCATAAAAACAATAGATATACATTGTCCGTCAATTTTACAGCACCCCCTGAGAACACTTCCCACTCCACACCCCTCGTTGCTCTGAGCTAGTTACGTCCCTGGATCGAACCCGTGAGTTCCTGTCTAGTCACCCACTCACTCGTCGATCCAGCGTGACTCCCCTGGAATGCCACATGTTGTGGTTTCTGATGGTCGCAGTATAAAGTATGGTATGTACATGAATCCATTATCCAAAACAAAATCTAAATACTAAAATCTCAGACCTTACTATCTTCGGCATTTAGGCCTGCTATTATTTAAATTCCCGCGGTCAATGGTTCTATTGTAGACAATGTGTGCACACATGATCATCCCGTTTACGTCATCTCAGTAGCAACACTTTTTATGCCGGCAATACAGATCCCTGAAACGTGATACCTATTCGTCTCTGATTCGACAAGCTGATTAAGGGCCCAGTACCTATCCGCTCGACTGTCTACGAGTACCCTAACTGTTTGTATTCACAGCGAAATAAAATGACGCTGCTTGATACAAAAGTTTTTACCGTATTCAATCTTCAAATTTAAGAAAAAAAAACAACTATAAAAATCCTTTTTTGATATTATTTAAGTAGTCATTTTTTTGTAAATTGTTTTTAAAATGCAAACTTGTAATCCAACTCCGCCCAATCTTTACTTTTTTATTTAGTTAATTGCAATCAACCAATTTATCAGAGAGAGCAAGAGAAAGAGAGATAAGAGAAAGAGGGGATTTAACGTCCACTCGACACAAACTAAGTCATTTCGAGACTAACATGGTTCAATTTTATAATATAAATAATTTGTTTCTGGTGCAGCAGTGGAATGAAATTGGAGGACCGGAGAAATCCAACGAGGCTTGATATGTGATACTACCCCTTATCACGTACACGTTAGGAATCAAAACCATGCCACTGGACTCAGTGATAGACCTTATGATCTAAAGCGCACGCGTTAGACCGTTCGGCAACCGAACCCCCTAATGAGATAAGGATAAGTATAAAATCGTGTCACCACCCTTCTACAGTAAATTAGACTAAATAACACCAGTCCTCACCCTAACCCTTAGTAAATAAAATCAACTAGTGATAAGAATCCTTAGCCCTAACCCCGGGATAGTGAAAAAAAAACCCCTCATTTTTAGAAAATCAAATCCTTAGTAGGAAACACACTAATATGGCTCTCACCAGAGGGCCTCAAATTTATTCTTCTTTCTTCAGAAACCAAAATACCAGAATACACCAAAGCGACATCAAAGGAAGACCAGCGCCACCAACACTAAAAACAGCGAAACACACTATGTATATAAATCTAATGTATTGCATTTATGTTTACTAACACTAGAAAATATCACGAAATGAAATGAAATGAAATGGGGTTTAACGTCCTACTGTTCTGCTCCTAAACTGGGCCATGAGGGAAATTTTGCCCGGGCAGCGGTGCTGCGGCCAACTCTTATATCGAATTCCGACTGCCAAGGGATCTTTTACGTGCAGGCCAATATGTACACGGGACCTCGGTTTTTCGTCCGATCCGAACGATTAGACAGCTGTCTTTGTCAGGCCCTCCGTCCTGCATCACTGACAAGGGGAAACCACGCCGGAAAATCTGGATGAACCTTCTCGGTCAATGCAGGGATCGAACACCCGACCTCCAGGCTAGCGAGTCAGCGTCTTACCCACTTAGCCACGTGATCCCCCGAAATATCACGAACCAAATATTCATATAATATTCATCATCCTAGGTTAGTGCTTTTGTGGAGACTTAACCTCTGCCCCCACCCCCCAATTCTTAAACCTAACCCAAATATTACCTTTAAAATGTTGTTTCAATGACATTTAACATTGAACGGGGAATATAAATGTGTTACACAGGTCACAATTCTAGGGAACACAATTACTCTTTATTATCATTGCCTTCTTAGGACATAAGAAGTCTGGGCGAAACGTCGCTCGGTAATAAAAGTAGTTGTATTCAAATTCAATCTGGTTAAAACAGATCCTATTTCGTTTCGTTATTTATAATTCAACATTTCGTTTTACTTGTCTTTACTACACTAGGATCTGGAAGAGTTGTTATATAACCCGCTTTCTGGATGATGTGAAAGATAAGTCAATGAAACGGCCTGTTGCGGCGAGTTCTTGGCGTAAGGTGCACAGAACTGTGGGTATTCCACTAGAAACATCAGCGCTGATTGATTAATCAAATGTCTGACGTCATAGGATCATAGGGTATGAACCCCGACGCGATATCCCATTACAACCGGTCAGATCCTTATGTAAAGGTGGCCATCGAATGTATAAAAAACGAAACGAAATATAGATCTATTTTAATCAGATTGATTCAAATTGTGTCCCGTGAATAGCCCCCGAAACATATCACTAAAGACATGTTAAAAATAATACAATTAATGCCCTGATAAATTAACGTCGCGAATCCAAATGTTGCATTTCACCACTTGATCGATGATAGAATTGATTATTGCACTCAAATTGATTACTGTACTAGTGGGTGGTTATGAGAGGCGAATGGTTTAAAGCGTGCGCGTTTGCCATTGAGTCAAGTGGCGTGAATTCGATTCCCCGCGATTGTGCGTGACAAGGAGTAGGTTCACTTGTCCAGATAAAGATCCCTACGGGCAAGCGGATTAATGAAATATTATATCCGAAATGACCAAATTTGTGTCGAGTGGACATTACTCCCAACCATCTCTCTATCTCTCTTCCTCTCTCTCTCTCTCTCTCTCTTATTGTACTTAAATTGATTATTTGACATTTAATCATAATATAATAATATAAAACAAACCAACCAGAATATCAAATGAAGATAAGAGGTCAGTCAAAAGATTTTACTAAACACGTACAGGTGGCGCAGGCTTGTTTATTTCATGTGTGGCTTTAAAAGTTGCATTTCGATTTGCAATGAAATCATACTTTTCCGTACCAACCTGTAATGCATTGTGTTATGAGGGAATTAATACAAAACACCAAACTAGTTAGTCCAATTCTATTGGGAAATCGCTACTTCTTGATTCAACCTTAGATATTACCGAGAAACACAGCAAAAGCTATTCCCACTAACTACCCTATTCTATGTAGTAACGCCCCCGCCAATACCGTAAACCTAGGAATTTTAAACAATGTGTTCTGTTGCTACTTACTTTCTGTTTTAATTAAATAACATAGTCAGGGCAAACCATATATTCGCTGAAGTCTAAAATGAAATGAAATGAAATGGGGTTTAACCTCCTACTGTTCTGCCCCGAACTGGGCTAAGGCTGAAGTCTAAATTCAAAAGATCGCACCTCGCCATTACTGCCGAACATAAAATTAAACCAAAACAAAAGAATAGTCTTAATACACAAATGGATATTGTTCAGGTTTGCTGCAAGGATAAGCGTTATGTCATTCATTATTAAACTTAACTTTAAATGATATTTTATACATCAACTATATTCTATTACATTTTTAATGTGATCAAAGAGATAATTTATGTTTGAACAACCCATTAAAACTTATCCTAAATAATTTAATAAAATAAGAAAAAGAGACAAAACAATTATATTGTTTTTAAGAAGTCACATTACCTGGTATAATCTAAATACTATTAATTTTAATATGTGTTTTATCATATACGAACATAAAAATATATATAAAACATTCACAATACAACTAAAGTATTATGCAGTTTTCTATTTGTATGCAATTGCCTTAGGATATATACAATCAATATGAGTGATTATGTGAAGGGAAAATGGGGTCTTTGATATTTTATGGCTCGATTTTATAATAACAGTTGGTTATTTTAGATATTTCGACAGTCGAACATTGTTCGATAGTGAGGTAAGTTTGTTTTATTTTTTTGCATTTTACAAACTCTATAAGGGTGTATATTATTGATGTCTATGTTATATACAAACTACTTTTCCATATCGATTTAAGTCTTCAACACGAAAACAAGAACAATTATATGAAACAGCAGTCGATGTTTTTATACACAGCCACGACGTGTCGATAAGTATCCTCTTATCATAAAAAAAAAATAAATTCAAAACAGATATTCATCAGTCACTGGTTTATTTTACGCTGACATGATGTCTCGTTGAGTATCCTCTTATTGTAATAAAAAAATGGTTTTAATTAAAAAAAAAAAAAAACAAACAAGAGAAAAATAGTCACTGGTTTACACAGGCACGACTTTTAGTTTTATAACGACACGAGGATACTTATTGAAACGCCGTGTTGGTGTATTATAAACCAGTGATTGTTTGAATACCATATGATTGTTCTCGTTTTATTATATTTCTAGTCTCTAAATGCCACTAAAGGATTATAAAATTAAAATGATATTAATTTTATGTGCACATATTTTTTATTTTATATAATGCAAAATTTAATTTTATGTGCACATATTTTTTATTTTTTATAATGCAAAATTAAAAAAAAAATATATTAAATTTATTGCCATAGACAAATTTAGAAATACGAGAGGAAAAAATATTTTTATAAATTGCAATCTTTCTTATCCGTTGAAATGTTATTATATGCATTATTGGTTATAATGAATTATATCATTGTAGTTGCTTGACGTAGAGGTAGCATAATGCGGGTGTGTGTGGTACTGTTGGTATTGTCGGTGCTGATCGCCGTAGTTTTATCTCAACACGGCCACGATCATGGTTCCCATGGATCACATGGATCACATGGCTCTAGTGGTTCCTTAATTAGGGGCGGAGGACGTCGTGGTAAGTTTTTCAAAAAATTTTAATTCCGAAAGTCCCGAAAGATTTCAGTCTACAAGTTTGTATTTGGTAAGAGAGGCACATACCGAACCGAAAAATAGATAGGAGGCATGTAAATTTCATTTCTCTCGGTCAACGGGAGAGCATTTACGTATTTTCCTGTAAACATCTGATACCTTATTGTACAAGGAGCCAGATAGTTCACATCTATGTCAAAAAGTCAGGCAATTCCCATATATGTAAAAACTTGTGTTTCAGTTAATGTAAAGACTGCTGTCATTATGCAATTTTAATTAGGCACATTCGAGTATAAAGAATATTGATATAAATTGTATTCTATTTTAAGACATTCGGCGTTCGTGAAAAAATATCCCGCAGCCGGGCAAAGTTAACCATTAGCTTGTTCGCACAGAAAACCATAATAATACAAAATTACCTTAAGTTGGCGTCAAAATGACCGAGAGATTAAACCATACTGCACACATTCTCTGTTATAGCGTGAATCTAAATGTATATTCTTTTCGGTATGTCTTACATTTTTAATAAAAAAATTTGTCCATTAATTCCCAAGCTTCATCGATTCTGCGAATTCAAAATGGCAGACAGCGTTTCCGGTTAAAGTAAATCAGGATCTGAAATTGCATTGCATTGTCTTGAGCCTGGAAAGAGAATTTCAATTCGGAATATTGGGAGGTACATTACTTTCAAATGGCAATTGAATTGAAATATATTTAAAATAATGTAATGTCCATATTGTTTTGCAGGTGGTCGTCGAGGTATTAGCGGGGGTTCTCGCAGACTTGGGGGATCCATTCGTCTTGGCGGACGCCGTGGTCGAAATGGAAGACTAAGAAATAGAGGCTTGTACGGTACTGGATCTGGTCTTTTATTAATTGGAGGTCATGATAATTACGGCTACGGTTATAGATCAGGTGTTGGACTTTTAGAGAGAAGAAGACTACGGGCGAGAGAGAGGAGGTTAAACAGGAGATTAAGGAGACTAATTAGAAATAATGCATATGATACTTATGATAACTACAACCACATACACTACTAAATAACATATTTGTACTGCAATGTCTATTAAACATACATTATGCAAGAGCTAAATCTGCCTATTGCAAGTCTTTATTTAGGCTTCAGATGTTACAGAAATTATTAATTAGATCTTTATTTACACAACGAGCTTAAAATCAACCCTGTAGACCCACGGATGGCTTGGGTATAGTTTGAATTAAAACAGCCTCGTCCATTTAAAATTAAATCAATAAATGGCGGACAAGCTAACGTTTACCGTTACTCGCTGATGTCACAACCGGAAACTGGCGATGAAAAGCCTGCCAAGCGAGGCTACTGACTGTACTGCAATGTCTTGTAACTTGATAAATATCAATAAAATCCATTCTGGCTGTATAACAGTATTTAGTAATGTAATAAATATATGAAAAGTTCATATTTGTTTGGTTATGCCGCTGTAACATCCAGGTTTGGCTGTGCTGCACTGTTTTCTGCAATGTTTAATTGATTGTATACTTTGGTTTCATCGACATTTGATTGGTTGTATTGCTGTATTATCCATATCTGATTGATTGTACTGCTGTAGCATCCATATTTGATTGACTGTACTGCTGTAGCATCCATATTTGATTGACCGTACTGCTGTATCATCCATATTTGATTGACTATACTGCTGTATCATCCATATTTGATTGACTGTACTGCTGTATCATCCATATTATTTGGTTAGCTGTACTGCTGTATCATCCATATTTGATTGACTGTACTGCTGTATCATCCATATTATTTGGTTGGCTGTACTGCTGTATCATCCATATTTGATTGAATGTAATGCTGTATCATCTATATTTGATTGGTTGTAATGCTGTATCAACCATAACTGATAACCTATAATACACTGTCTACTGCAATGTAACTTATAAAGCTGTAACAATCGCATTTGTACGAAAGCCCAGAAGGCTCATTCCAAATTCCAGATCCAGATTCCAGATTCCAGATTCCACATTCCTAATTCCAAATTCCAAATTTGCTGCTGTTGCAAAAAAAAGAAGAAAAAAATGTGGGTCCTAGGATACCGAGTAGCAGAGTAGTTCACTGCAGAGGAACTTTGCCCCAAACTGTTCACATCTGCCGAAGCAAACCCGAACTGGAATATTTTTATTATACTCTAACTGATTAGTCAAAAGCAAAAACCTGATCCGATTGGTCGGATCAGATTTGGAATTTGGAATCTGGAATTTGGAATCTGGAATCTGGAATTTGGAATCTGGAATTTGGAATTTAGAATCTAGTAATTTGGAACGGGTATTTATCCGGCCCAGATAGGTAAACTAGAAGTAATTAGTTGTGTAAAATTACAATCTATATAAATTCTAATTTGTTTAATTGAGGGGGGGGGGGGGGGGCTGCCAATTTGCTATTTTATCGGTAAGACATGAATTTGGAATTTGGAATTTCGTCTAGGGGTCGTTTTGCTGTGTTTTATACTACTGGGGGATACATGGCATCCATCATTCTAGGCATGGCTAGCTGCATATTGGAATCCCGAATATAAAGTTGAATAACGAATAACAAACAGCTCGTTATTCGCTGCTTGAATAACACTGTGGACTGTTTTTCGTTTAGGGGTCGTTTTGCTGTGTTTTATACTATTGTGGGATACTTGGCACCCATCATTCTAGGCATGGGCTAGATGCATATGGGAATCCCGAATATAAAGTTGAATAACGAATAACGAGGTAGCTTGTACCTAGTTATTCGCCAATAACGAGGCAAGTCGCCTCGTTATTCGTTATTCACCGCTTGAATAACAATATAGTTTATTTACCGACTATACGTCATTTAATGCGTTTTTTACTGCTAGGGGATACTTTGCAATCCATTATTATGTCTTGTCTAGTGATCTTTTAGAATTAAATCCTGAAATGTCCTCATTAAAGATACATGAACACCTTCAGATGTGAATCCAGAATAACCAGGTGAATAACGAATAATGAGGTAGCTTGTACCTCGTTATTCGCCAATAACGAGGTAAGTCATCTCGATATTCGTTATTGGTGAATAACGAATCACGAATAACCAAAAACGATTCAACTTCACACTGCCGTTATTATACTCTAACTGATTAGTCAAAAGCAAAAACCTGATCCGATTGGTCGGATCAGATTTGGAATTTGGAATTTGGAATTTCGCATTTGGAATTTGGAATTTGAAATCTGGAATTTGGAATCTGGAATTTGGAATTTGGAATCTGGAATTTGGAATTTGGAATCTAGTAATTAGGAACGGGTATTTATCCGGCCCAGATAGGTAAACTAGAAGTAATTAGTTGTGTAAAATTACAATTTATATAAATGCTGCCAATTTGCTATTTTATCGGTAAGACATGAATTTGGAATTTGAAATTTGAAATTTGGAATGAGCCTTCTGGGCTTTCGTACATTTGTAACTGAACTGCAATATACAGGACACATATTTATAGAATACACTTATTGTTTATTACGGAACAACACCGAATCTCTTTTAGTAAAAAGCATGACAATGGCAGTTCGGAATTGGACTAATATACATAATGTACTTGATAACGACAAGAGAATCATTGTTGAAACATTGCTGTTATTATATCCGATATTTGTCTTCCATATATAAAAACGAAATTACACCGTGGCGGGCGTGTATAGCCTATGCCTAAATATATGAAACAATTAGCCGGATGTTGACGTATTCCCGAAAGTTTATGTTCTGATGGCCCAGGGCACATGTCGGTTGTCCATTAACCAGGGTTAGATCTATTTGATAAGACCAACTTCACGTTTGGTCAAAGGTCACGAGATGTAAACAGGACTACCGCTAATCCCAACCCTAACCCTGGACCTAGCCCTAATGCTTACCCTAAGCCTAACGTACAATCTCGCCAACAATCATGTTCCCTAACTTTACTTTTTTTTACATCTCAGCGGCATTGACGAAAATTGAGCTGCCCTTAACAAATACATTTAGCCATTTTTTTTATCCCGGTGTTGGCCGAGAAAGTTCTCCAGACTCAGGATTTTTTTTATCCCAATTAGTCCCCTAGTAAGTGATGCAGGACTGGTGATCTGACAAGCCTTTGGTATTTAAGAGAAAGTTATCAGTAATGCTCGACCATCTACTCATATCTTTCAAAACATTTTCATTTTTGAATACCAATCCCATACTTTACCTCAGCCTACCGAGCCATTCTTATAGTTTCAATGACTTTGCACGACACCTGCAGGGGCGGATCCAGTAATTTTTTCAGGAGGGGGTTTGCCAGGTTCCTGAGACAATGTATCTCCCCCCCCCCGCATTGTCTCTATCGTCATTATGGCGTATATATACACACACATTGTGCTTTTTAAACAGAAAAATTCAACATCTCGTTTGACGTCAATTTTTATTATGAATTAATACAATGACATCGTGATTCATTTTCATGGATGAAAAGCATCAGTTGTGATATCACATAATGTTTATATCATTATCCCGCGCTTTGAGTGCCCATCCTGTCCCACATCTAACGATAAAGGATAAAACAAACGATAGAGAAACTTTTCTCATAAAAAGTTTTGATTTACAAAAAAAATAATTATGTAGCTGAGTAGGGGAGGGGGGGGACCCACCAAACTCCCCTCCCCCCTTGGATGCGCCCCTGACCTGACGTCAGGGTTTTCGACCGATATCTACTATAGATAATAAAATTTACTCTGGTTTCTATTTCCGTATTCTGTTATCTACCATAGCAATGACCAGTACCACACAGAGCTCTGTACTCATACTTATAAATGGAGCAACATCACCCACTGGCTGCCTGGACAACAGTCTCTAATTCAATCATTTCAGTGCGATAGGGATACTTTACGTGATAATTAAACGCTTTTAATTTCTTTTACTTTAATCTATCGAATTTGTACTTAATTGATTTCCATATGTTTTAGCCAGTTTTAGGCATCTATCATCTAAATTTCTATAAATTAACTAATAGATTAAAATCGGTGTAATATAGACTAGGTTCATTCTGCAAAATGTCCAGCATCATCATCATCATCATTATTTGTTTCACCAATATTTCGGAAATTGAAATCTCAGGATATAACAAGTTTCTATGAATTGACTAAAAAAATCAAACAGTCAGTATGTCTGTGTGAAATGATATTATTCGGGCATTATACTGGTAGAACTAGATACATGGGTGTATTTAATAATATAGAAAAATAAAGACACGTCTAGAATAGTACAAAGTTTACATATTTATATATCATGTTCAGGTTGCTTCATCGTATAATCACAACGAATTATCACTAAAATCTGATGCCAATCTATCCCATACCATTCTACTCTCGGTCACTCATTTGTTTCTGAATTTAGGCCATCTCAGTCTGCATCACCATTACACATGCTCTCGGTGTCTCTCACTTTTTCTGAATTTTTCTCGGATCCGTATTAAAAGGTGCCTTCGTCGGATGACCGTTTTGTGAGATGAGAGTAACATATCATCACGGTCATAACATAAGTGCTCAACTCATATTTTTAGGTTTTGATATAAGCGAAAAAAAACTTTCCTGTATGTGCTAGAGGACACCGAGGATACAGTTTTCGTGCTCAAATTAAATCATTCATAATATAAGTCTTATTTATTCCAACAGGGCCGGTTTACTGCAGGGTCAACACAAGCAGAGAAAAATTACTGTTTTCTAAATAGTTTGAGTGAGCACTGACTTAAGCAAGTAAACTTAGTCATTTCTGACTTGAGCAGCAGAATAATTACTCGTTTACTTCCGATTAATCTCTTATCACCTATGAAATATGGGAAGCAGTTAGCGTGGTTTTTTTTGGTTTTTTTTTGGGGGGGGGGGGGGTAGTCACTCGTAGACAAGACAGTGGTATTGATAATGATCTCAGACGTGGATTAGGGTGCAGAGGTGCGCCCCCCCACCCTTACTATTAGATTTTTGTTTTATTGAATATTCCTTTACTAAAGTGGAGACGTCTCTTGTAATGTAACACTGCTTATGATATTATTCTGTAATATCCATATTCTTCAGTTATTTTATCTTTTTTACGGTTCTCGGTTCTCGTAATACTATGACTTGCCCAAATTTTCTGGACAGTCGGAACAACAGTGTTTTTTTTTCTCTTCGGGTTTTAGAGTTTTTAAATACGGCTCAAAAAAGGCTCAAGGTATGGGCCGATCATATAGGGTATTAAAGTCTTACTATTATTTTAAGAAAATTGGTTTGCATCGCTCCGCTCGGCAGGTCGTTTATACATATAAACATACAAGCATGATATGCCCAGATTTTGCAAGAGATGAGCTGAGAACAAGCTAAAAAAAGCGATTTTTCGCACAATCAGGGGCCTTAATCCAGGGGTGTTAGGGTTCGACATTGGAAAAATCAAAAGGGGGGTCGGGATCCGTGGAATGTAATCAGGGGCAAGTATCAAAAGGAACCCAGATCTTAGGATGAAAAAAATACTTTTTAGGTTTCATCAAAATCAGATAAAAAAATTGTGACATCTACATGTAAAGAGTCTGCAAGCTAACAAATGTGATTTTTCGTACAATTAGGGACCATAATCCAGGAAGATACGGTCCGAGAAGCGTGAATATCGCAAAAAAGCAATCAGTGGCCATAATCCATGAAGTTCGGGTCCAATAAGCGTGAATATCGAACGGAACGGAGATCCTTGGCATATAAACATATATTTTAAGTTTCATCAGAATTGGAAACAAAATTATGACCTCTAGAGGATCTGATTTTCACGAAATTCGAACTCAACCATCATTATTGTGGTCGGTTCGGAACTTTATTTCTTCTCTTCTGGGAGTTGGATGGCCGAATGGTTCGCGTGTGTGCGTTGTATCATAAGGTCTGTCATTAAGTCAACTAGCGTAGTTTCGATTCTCCGGTTTTACGTGACAAGGAGTAGGGTCGCCTGTCCAACCTCGTGGGTTTTCTACGGGTCCTCCGATTTGATCCCACTGCTAAAGACCCCAACCCGCAAGCGAATTATTGAAAACAAATTGAACCATATGACCTGGACTGTGTCGAGTGGACGTTAAACCCCACCCCCTCTCTCAAATTTCAAAACCACATATATAAGGCTGTTGGAAAAGTTTCTAGTTGCTGTACGCACAGACAGCAATGGCAGGAAAACGCATTTTCAAATTTCCTGGGGGAGGACTTGATACCGCACGGCTTCGCCGGCCGCAACAAGCGTTTTTTCGGACAAATCATTTCTGCCCCCCTCTCTATCAAAAGCTTATGCTTATTGATGTTTTTGTAAGCAATATACACAGTGCACGTGTTTGACAAGACGGTGACCCAACCTCGCATAATGGTTGTCATGTCTTATATAACAACCCCCCAATGGTGTCAATGTTACGTTTAGGATCTCTCTGTTAAATGACGTATGTATGTTGATTTCTCATTGGTCAAAATATAATTGTTGTGGGATATCTATTACCGCCATTTTCATAATACAGCCTAAAGGCCATGACGCAAACGACCAATTGACATTATTCTTACCTTTTACTTACAAGTTATGATCATTGTATTCTTCGATGTTTTATGAGCTTGTCACAAATGATGCATTGTCGATCTACTACGTCTGACTCTGAATGACTAAATTAAGAAAATACGAGACAATCCATCAAAATTGGGATTATTTGCCACGGTCAACTTCGTTTGTTTATAAAACTAAGCACGCCAGCCGTGCACCTCAGTCGGGTAAATTACTCTCTTCAACTGCATACCCTAAAGGTAAGTTTCATATTTGCATGTCTTGAACCAATTATTTTCAATAACAATTGATAGGACAGAGGATAGTCTTTAAATTTTAAATTAAAATATTAAATAGCTCCTTTTTATTCATGACATGACATCCAGAAGGGTTTTAATTATTCAATTGTAGAGTTATATTGGTCTACGGCAAGTTTAATAACCGCTTCCGCGTTTGTTTAGTACATTAAATTACTTTATTCTTAGCGATGTTATGGCTATTTGAAGATGTAGTGTAGATTGTTTATTTTCCTAGTAAGTGTCGAGTATCCCTTTCATACTTAAATTTTTAAATCATGTTGTAATTTAATTGGAGCGAATTTTGGGCAGAAATGAAATGAATAAAATGGGGTACTATGCCAACCCGAAAAATATGATACGCTGTATCTGCTTAAAACGCAGATCCTATTCCGTTTCGTTTTTTATAGTTCAAAATTTCGTTTTACTTGTCTTTACTACACTAGGATCTCGAATAGTTGTTATATAACCCGCATTCCGGTTGATGTGAGGGAATAGCCAATGAAACGGTCTGTTGCAGCGAGGTTTTGGCGGGCGATGCACAGAACTGTGGGTATTCCACTAGAAACATCAACGCCGATTGGTTAATCAGATGACCCCTGACGCGACCTCCTACTACAACTGGTCAGATCTTCATGTAGTAGAGGCCATCGAAAGTATAAAAAAAACGAAACGAAATATAGATCAGTGTGCTATGAGTAAAATATTGGTCAATAATGCCTTCACGTAGACGCCGAAGTGTAGGCCTACATAAGAGCGTTGTTTTTTGTCCTATCCGTACAGCTAGACAGTTATTTGCCCGGCCCTCCATCTTGAAACCACGACTTTTCGAGCAGGATGAAGATGTTGCACATCTCCAGTAAAACAGAATTCGGTCCGGCCTATTTAGGAAGTTAGAAATACTTATCAATTTAATTTGAATGACGTAATCACTAGATATTGTATCCATTCCAGATGCTGTCTCTACTTGTGATCGGTTCCTTGGTCTGTTTGGCTAGTTCTCTTCATGTTGGTGGTGGCCATTCTCCAATACTAGGATCCGGACAACATGTTGCTGGTAGGTGACTCCATTTACTTGTCCAATACGTTTCACAATATTTCTTTTGACAACTTTACAGTCTATACACAAGCCATATTTAGAACTCTAATTTATTCCGATTCGATTGACAAGAGCTTCAAAAGACTGGACTTTGACTTACACTCAGCCATTTTCCATTATTTTATAAAATATTCTTATTTACGAAACTATTAATTATTAGCTTGATACCCGGCTTCGCTCGGGCCCACTATCTGCTTACTCTCTATATTTCCTACTTGCACGCTTTCCCGCTAGCTTACATCATCCGTTACCATTATTAAACTTAATTACCATAATAAACATTTATCGCTAATTAACCGTTAATTGCAGTAAAACAGTTCAGTGTCAGACACAATCCAACATTAAATGTTCTTGACCTTCATAAATCATGACCCAAAGTATGAACGGTGCCATGCTGTTTAATTTGACCTCACAAGCGTGATGGGCGAACATACATACACACATCTTGATTTTATTTATATAAATATTTTTCTAACTTTATTTCAGGTTTATCTCGACATGGCGATCATATAGATGCTCATGTCAAAACAAATGGTAAATATTTCAATATTTAATCTTATGCCAGTCGGAAACTCAAATAAGGATTCCTTTATGTTTGTTATTCAGGGGCCTGTTTCACGAAATTTTAACTAAGATAAAATCCAAATTTTAGCAATTTGATTGGATAATATTAGATTGATTTTAGTGCTTAGCCAATCAAAATTGAAGTATCTACTTAAATTGGATTTTATTTTTAGTTAAAATTTCGAGAAACAGGGCCCAGTATTTGTTCTAGGTAGATCTAAGCGACGTTGCCAATAACATTGTTGCCTTTTCCATTTCAGTTGTTGGTCCCGGTGGTAATGTGCACACAATTCATGAACATGTACCAAGTAAGTTTCATATTAAATCTTACTAATCAAAGCCAGTCGTCGCCATTTGCAGCTTTGAGATTATATTTGATTTCGCAGCTTAATCCGCTATAAAATCTACACCTATTGATTTTGCAACATTTGATTAAGGAAAGAAAACCAAAATTTTATCAGATAATCTCCCGGATGGAACCATATTGGATGTACCCACTGCTACAGGTTCCTACGCAAACGTGAATTAATGAAAAATATTTAAACATATGTTTGTCCCGAAATAACCTAGTTTGTGTCGAGTGGACATTAAACCCCATTTGTCTCCCTGTCCCACTTTGTAAATTAATGAACGGAATTTAAACCTTTTCTGGACCAAAAATTAAATTCAGCTTTCACAATACTATAGTTTGCAATTACAGTCAACAGACGGCTGTCCTTCGAGACAGTCTACATTTCCCATTTGCTTCATTGTATTCATTTTTGTTTTTGTGACGGATGGAACATGTACCATATATATATATATATGTATTGAATACTGAAATGTTTCTTGATTGAATTTAGAGTTTAGACTATTTTTTATACATTTCACCGATGTGGTTACTTGTATAGTTGAATTTTACTACATATGCTTGCATTCGCATTTCGTGTGGCATATAGCAGATCATTACTGATGCTGGCATTGCACAATGGGTTCTTTGAGTTGTATTCCTGATTGTTTTCAAATTTGAGTGAAGTCTGTGTCACTACAGACCCGGGACTGTACAGCGCAGTGGACGCTTACGGCTAGCCCCGATCCATTCACTTTTTTTTTGAATTGTCTGTATGTTTGTGTTTTCCTGAGTATGCTGTCCTGTCCGTGTATTTGTTTATGTGTAAATTTTGTGTGGTGCAGTCCCCCTGCACTGACTATAAAGAGTGAACAGTGACTTTAATAATCTTGCGGGTCTTACCCTTCCTACGACAAATCAATATTGATATCATTTGGAATTCAGGGAACAGACACGTAGGGTATTAAACCCCATTATGTTTTGTTGGTCAAACTGGTGACCTAATTATTCTTATGGGAACCAAATGAAATGAAATAGGGTTTAACGCCCTACTGTTCTGCTCCGAACTGGGCTAATGAAGACGGGCATACACCATACAGTGTGCTATAGGGAAATTTTGCCCGGACAGCGGCACTACGGCCTACTCTTATATCGATTCCAACTGTCAAGGGATCTTTTACGTGCACGCCAATGTATACACAGAACCTCGGTGTTTCGTCCCATCCGAACGACTAGACAGCTCTCCTTGTCAGGCCCTCCGTTCTGCATCACTGACAAGGGGGAACCACGCCGGAAAATCTGGATGAACTTTCTCGGCCAACGCAGGGATCGAACACCCGACCTCCATGCTAGCGATCCAGCGTCTTACCCACTTAGCCATCGTGATCCCCTCATGGTAACCAACCTATAAACATTTTCTACTATTACTGAATTAAATGGGGTATTTTTCTACAACAACTGGGTCAATGAAGGTGTGAAGTACTGTTCCAAAAAATTATCAAGTACCATTTTCAAGCTCTGTAATCTCAGAGTTCGTAGCATTCGACTGGATTATTGTGTCTTACTATCTGAGTTGATGTTTCGGAGTATATTCAACGTCCGCTTCCACAGATGATGATATCTCAGACACATACTCTTATTGGAAGGAATAAGAGAGAGGGGGAGAAATGGGGTTTAACGTCCACTCGACACAAACTAGGTCATTTCAGGACTAACATATGGTTTAATTTTATTTCAATAATTCGCTTGCGCGTACGGGTCTTTAGCGGTGGGAGGAAACCGGAGGACCCGGAGAAAACCCACGAGGTTGGACAGGCGCCCCTACCCCCTGTCACGTACAACCGGGGATTCGAAACACGCCAGTTGACTCAATGACAGACCTTATGTTACAGCACGCACGTGCTAACCATTCGACCATCCAACCCCCCTGGAAGGAATAAGATTTCCCTGGATATAAAAGGACCGCAAGATCTCGGAGCGTGATATTCCATACCCCCACCCCTCGAGTTACATCGACGTCAGGGGATTTTCTAAGTGGTGTGTTTATATAGTTATAATCTTCTTTGTGGAAACCATATTATACTATAGTCATTTCTATTTCAGTACCGTCAACTATTCAAAATCCAGTGTACGGCGGTGGACGCTTAGGTCGTTTTGGGGGAAGAAGATTTGGTTTGTTTAACAACGGTTTGAATAATTATAATAATTATAACAACGGTTTCCATAATTATAACAACGGTTTCCATAATTATAACAACGGTTTCCATAATTATAATAACGGTTTCAATAATTATAATAATTATAACAACGGTTTCAACAACTTCAGACAACCATATGTCACCACTAACTTCAATAATGGAATTGGATTCAACCACGCCGGCCACATTCACAGTAAGTTGATATTTACGGTCAACTAAATGTTCCTCACGGTGAAATGATAGCTGCTACGTCCTACTTTTGTGCACCTACTGAGCTAATGAAAAGTTATTTATTCTAGTGCACAGATATTTGGTGATGCTCCGAGAAAAACCTTTGATTGTATGCCCCCAAGACTATATCTTCAATAGAAGGCTCGATCTCGCTTTAACTCCGTACATCTTATCAAACCCTTTACTTAATACCTCACATATTTCGGCACTAATTTTGATTGGGTACTGACCCAGCATGAGAGCCAACCGGATTCCTCGATCACCACAAATATCAAGTTTCGTGCTTTCCAGCTAAAATATCTTCCTGTGATATTTCATTTTCAATTTCCAAAAGAGTTTTCATTCTTTATTAGATGCCCCACCCCCACACCGCCCGTCCCCGAAGAAGATGCACCCTCCTCCCCCTTTTCGTTTAATACCAGAATTATTGCAAGTTCACAGGGCTCTACAAAATGCGATGGCTGTGTGATATATGACATAAGTCTGTCTGTCTAAACAACTATTCTCGTGTATTAACAAATTACTCTCTTGAAGAATAAATCATTTCCTACCATGGACATCAAGGTCAGGATGGTATCTTACCTCGGCGTATTGCTCTAATCATTTAAATTACTATCCAAATAATACTTTTTTTTGTAGAAACATAAATAACAGAAACGTTTCTTTTTGTTTACTCGTGCTCTTTGGCGTTATTATTATTCCAACTCCTTTTCAAATTTCAGGGAAAAAAAGGGCCGCTCTTTTACCAGTTGCCAGATATCCAACGAATCATATCAATAGTAAGTAAAATTAGTTTGAGGGGTGATATTTAACTTGAAATAGTTTTAACACCAAGCCACACGTATTACCTGAGTTGAATAGAAATTAACATCCGTTCAACTGCACATCAAGTGTTTTTTGTTTTTTTTTTGTTTTTTTTTTTGGGGGGGGGGGGTGTGCTCTCGACAACCCAGTTCATTCTAAATATATAGCCATCAGGTACAATTTCAATCCAACAATATTTAATGGGAAATATAAAACCGAATATATGGATGACTAAGATTGGTTATGGATCAAGCTCCGTTCATAGAAGTACATTAAATATGGCGTTTAAAAGTCAAAGAAGCGAAGCTATAATTCAACAGGGATTATCATTACAATATTTTGTTTGTTAGGGTAATCATACCTAAATTTAATTTTTTTGTTAGTGTAAACATATGTCAACGTATCTAAATTTACTGTTTTGTTAGTGTTAACATATCTAAATTTACTGTTTCGTTAGTGTAAACATATCTAAATCTACTGTTTTGTTAGTGTTTACATATCTGAATTTACTGTTTTGTTAGTGTAGACATATCTAAATTTACTGTTTTGTTAGTGTAGACATATCTAAATTTACTTTTTAATTGGTGTAGACATATCTAAATTAACTTTTTTTTATTAGTGTTAACATATTTACATTTACTTTTTAAACTCGCTGTCTAGTCTATAATCGATTCATGTGATAAAATCTAAAGATATGTTTTGTTTGGGGGTTGTAAGATGTATGCTGTATATTTCAGATTAAGTGACGTTCATAACATGTATAACAGGTAATAATTATAATCACATACAGCGCACCTGCACCGTGTGTTGAACGGGAAACTAAAGTTAACAGATTACTTTGAGGCACTATTTCTATTAATGGAATTACACGTTCGTTAAAGTTCCACATACAGTTTTATGTGTAATATGTTACACACGTGATTGGTGTTAACAGATTACTTTGAAATGTTATCTATATTAAAATACATTATGCAAGAGGTAAATCTGCCTATTGCAGGCCTGAAATGTTATCTAATTTATTAATTAGACATTAATTAACTTATCCAGAAAATAATCAACTCTCGATGTCATCGCTAGCCTGCGATGTTTATTGGATTAGGTTCCCATTTGCTGTTCAACTTCCATTCATAATTTAATCATGAAGTGGATAATCGAGTAATCGAGACTATGTTTTTTTTTATCGTACCGACGTTAGTAATGATGATCGATGCTAGGTCGAAAATTCAATCGCTAAAATCTCGGTTCAGAGTGGATCAATTTGACTGAAATTTTCAGCAAATTCCCTTTACATTATCTAATTTTTAACTATTATAGTGAGAACTGCCAGCTCTTTATCTAATCTCCCATAATGTATCTTTAATAGAGTTATAAATTCATTAAAGTTCCACCTACAGTTTTAGGTGCAATATGTGACACACGTGATTGATTTGAACAGATTACTTTGAGATGTTATTTATATTAATGGACTTACAAATTCATTAAAGTCCCATATACAATTTTATATGTAATATGTGACACATGTGATTAATTTGAACACAGAGGTGTTGATAGAAATGGTACGGGTCGCATTCTTAATCTTATGTCATCCAGGTTGCGCATCGTATGGCTTTGTCACTATTTAATATATTACGAAATCAAGATTCGTCTCATGACGAACAATAACTAGCGTCACGCTGTCCTCGCATCTAAATCAAAATAAATATGTCTGATTTTTTTTCAATCGGTTTTTTATTTAAAACATAATAGTTTCATAAGATTATTATAACTGGAGAAGAACGTTGACCTTTAATGAATATCGGCCTCTTGCGTGGTCCACTGTATTTACTTTAGTTTCCCATACACCATGTTTGATTTGCTAAACGTTTTGGGACATGGACATATCATTTCTTTTACACCAGTTGCAGCCGACGACACCAATTCGGCCATTACATCAACAAGTAAGGACTCTACACTAACAGTGACTGGACACCCAGATTCTTTGAATAGCATTTATACTAAAGATGTAAATGAACTGTCAGAACCAAACAACAGCATTGCATCGACTGATCCCAAAATAAACAAGTTGAAGGTTGTCCGCACTGTCACTATCCAACCTGCCGAGTTCACTGTTGGTCAGCCGGCCGATTCTGTTACACCCTTAGCTTCACCCACAGATTTGTACTCAGCCTTTCGAACTGGGCAATCTGCCGATAACGCCTTTCTTAGTGCTGTAGATATGCAAATAAGCGGCGGCAATATACAAATGACAGGCGGCAATATGCGAATGACAGGTGGTAATATGCAAATGAGAGGTGACAATATGCAAATGGGAGGTGGAACTATGCAAATGAGAGGTGGTAATACGCAAATGAGAGGTGGGGAAATGCACGTGAACGGTGGAAGTATGCAAATGACAGGTGGAGATATGCAAATGAGAGATCGGAATATGAAAATGAGGGATCGGAATGTGCAAATGAGAGGACGAGATATGCAAATTACTGGAGGGACTAGGCCAATGAGGACAGGAAGCAGACGGATGGTCGACAGAAGCAGAAACGTCGATGGTGGTAACAGAAGATTTAATGTTGGACGTGGACGATTTGGGGATGTAAACATAATTAACGATGGAACCAGACGATTTAGAAACAGACCAATCTTTAATACAAGAAGGCAATACAACAGGAATACTGACTCCAGAACATCCAGTACACAACAGTTTAACCAGCGAAGACGCCCAGGCTTGGTAAACAATTATGATTCAACTATGAATGCCCGATCCAGGGAGTGTGGTTCCTGCATGAAAAAGAATTCCTTCGTGGGTTTGCCTAGCGAGCACGTCTGTCGCTGCGAACCATTTTAGCTATACTTTCAGAGAGCAACTAAACCCAACTGAAACATAGCACTTTGGAAAATTCAGTTTACATAAGTTAACCAGTTACCTATCCCTCATTTGGAAGGACAGAGTCGACAATAAAAAAAAGACACTAACTGCTGACTGATTACATATTATTGTAGACCGAATTGGATCACTCACAGACCGAATAACGGACACCTCCCTACTCATTTATCAAAGATAATTATATACATTACGTCTAGAACAATAGATCATTTATTGTACATGACAACGACAAGTGTTTTCAATCATCCTACATCATCACGATCCATCCCTGCCTTTCATTGTGCTCGCTAGGCTTGGTCTCAATAAAACTTTCAAGTAGTATAACTAATGGTCTATGCATACCTTCCTACGGTAAAGGTACAGATAAATCAATATTTTTACTATGTAGATTGTCGCTTGATCTTAGAAAAAAAAACTTCAATCTGATTTAAAAACACAGGTCCTATTTCGTTTCGCTTTTTATAGTTCAAAATATCGTTTACTTGTCGAAAGTATAAAAAAAACGAAACGAAATAAGATCTGTATTTTAATCAGATTAATGTTTGCAGCTCCAAGTATGTTGAACCGTTTTTTTACTAATCCGTTCTTTCTAATTAGACTATTTAAAACTAATATTAATCAATAGTTTACTGGCTTTTGATACAATTTTAGATGTCTTTCATTTTAGTTGCTTACTTACATTATAATATTTGTAACATTGTCTGTTTTAAGTTACATTGCTTTGCTTATTTTTGTATATATAGTTTCCTATTCTTTAATCAGTTATTTATATCTGGTTACATTGTAATCATATTTAAATTTAAATACAAGGGTGGCCAATGGATTCAAAACAATTAAATTTAAACATACATTATGCAAGAGCTAAATCTGCCTATTGCAAGTCTTTATTTAGGCTTCAGACGTTATAGAAATTATTAATTAGACCTTTATTTACACGACAAGCTCAATATCAATCCTGTGGAACCACGGATGGTTTGGATACAGTTTGGATTTAAACAGTCGTCCATTTAAAATTAAATCAATAAATGGCCGACCAAGCTAACGTTTACCGTTAGTCGCTGATGTCACTACCGGAAACTGGTGATAAAAAGTCTGCCAACCGAGGCTACCATAGCCATTGAGCATGTTACTTGATAATCGAGAATATGTGGGTGGAATTATCGTCTGTCAATCAAACGATCGTCAATTCTCATAGACGGTGCAGACACAATTGATGCCTATTTCTAGTCCAAACTTTCGGCAGAACAAAGTAATTTGACTGAAATTTTCAACATTTTCTTTTTTTATCATCTATTTTTGAATTATTATATCACGAATGGCCAACTCTTTATAAAACTCTTAACTAATGTATCTTTAAATTTCGAAATTTGAATATTTGGTCTATGCTTCGTCCGTACGCCAGAGATAAATGAGGAGTTTGTGACACGCCAGTATATGTTTTTTTTCAATTAATTGTTGTTTTTTTTTTGTCTTTTCAGATGCCATTGAATAGATGTGTAACAGCTTCCTGCTATCTTCAAAGACTTCGAAATCGTAACGTGCCTTCACTGTCACAATTTTTCTACCCACCGTACTATAATTACAATCGGATGTTCTTATTTTAAACCAAGACGGTCTCGTTTTGTATTGTCGTCTACATAGAGCTCACTCTCTCCCTACTGGGCCAGTCTATGTAGTATTTTGGTAGGGTAATGAACTATTTTCTACGTTAGATTATTTCACTAGGTTTTGTTATACGTCATTCATTCATGTTGTGTTAAATGTACCAAGACGGTGTTCTAAATATATAAAAAATATATATGAAACAATGTCATTTACAGGGGTTTTTTTTCAAATAGAAGAAGGTATTAAGCAAGCAAGGACCACGGTGGCTCAGTGAGTAAGACGTTTGCTCGCGCAGAGGCCCCGTGTTGACTGGGAAAGTTTATCGTGAGTTTCCAGAGTGGTTCCCCCTTGTCGGTGGTGCAGGATAGAGGGTCTGGGTGGGACGAAAAAGCGAGGCCTCGTGTACATATAAACATGCAGATAAAAGATCCCTTGGCAGTTGGAATTCGATATAAGGGTCATTCGCAGAGTCGCTGTCCGGGCAAAATTTCCCTCATAGCACACTGTCTGACGTAGACTCTATGCCCGTCTTCATTAATCCAATCGGAGCAGAACAGTAGGACGTTAAACCCCATTTCAATTAAGCAAGCAAAGGCAAACCGATGATGAGGCGGGGTTACCGTCAGGTTCCGGTCGCAAAAATTATACGAATTTGACTATCTGTCTAATTGCAGCTACTTGGTTGAGCAACTATATGTTTACAAGCCGTCAATCTTATAGTCTTCTCCATATAACCCGTGTTCTGGTTGATGCGAGGGATTAGCCAATGAAACGATCTGTTGCAGCGAGTTCTTGGCGTGCGATGCACGGAAGTGTGTGTATCCCAGTATAAACAGCAACGCTGATTGTAGCACTACGTAATTCAGTATCCAATTCAAATATGTAGTGATATCCCGTGCTATAAGTCGCTGGCTAGATGTGGAAAGTATAAAGCATCAAAACCTCTCTACATTCAACGTGCTACATATATTATTAGCCTTGTGATCGTCTAGTATCGTCTCTGGTTATATTTGTAATACTTCACTTAGGACTCCATTCAGAGGCGGATCCAGGAAATTTGCAGGAGGGGGTTTGCCAGGTTCCTGAAAAAATGTATCCCCCCCCCCCCGCCCTCCCGCATGGTCTCTATCGTCATTTTGCGTATATACATACACAGAGAAACAGAGAAATTCAACACCTCGTTTGACGTCAATTTTTATTATGAATCAAAACAATGACATTGTGATTCAATTTCATGGATGCAACGCATTAATTGTGATATCATATAATGTCTATATCATTATCTCGTGCTTTGAGCGCTCATCCTGTCCTACATCTGACGATAAAGGATAAAGCACACGGCCGAGAAACGTTTCTCATAAAAAGTGTTGATTTACAAAAAAAATTTTTGTAGCTGAGCAGGGGGGTGGGGCAACGTGTGATTTTATTGAAAAATGAGAATACATCGTGATAATGTAAAGGACTAATAGTTGACTGACCCTAGTATTAACGTCATTTAATTTATATAAGTCATGGAGGATGGGAATACAATGAATCCATGCATAGAACCAGTCAATAACAGATCATATTATTACAGGTCTTGACAACTATTTCAATAAATCAATTATATACTGTTTAATTTTATCAATGTCCAGTTTCATTGCAATTCTGACATTAGGCTTCTCCGACCACCTCCCAAGCCAATCAACGACCATTTGTCCACGAGTCCATCTTCCTTGTAGCTCAACACAAGCATTGACTTCCTTAAACTCCACGCACACCGATTCGTCGAACAAAACCAATATGGCGAACAGATCACAGGAACGAAATCCCCAGTTCATTTTCTTCTGCATCCTTTCCAAACCTCGCTCGGTGGTCATAATCTTCTTAAAGAATTCGGCTCTAGTTGACTTAAATGTCATAATCTCGTGAACAAATTCCTGTTTTGAAAATATACAAAAAGTATGAAATAATGTAATAATATGGATGATGAGATTTGTACAAAGCAACACATATTATGTGTAATACTAGTAACTCACATTTTTTTTATTTTGAGAAAACAAAGGAAAACGTAATGAATGAAAATTAAACGCCTGCTCATCCATTGATTTGACTATTGAGTTACTAGGTTTTGCTGTGTTATACTAGGCAAATGAAGGAAGTTGCTAGGTTGTGTCATGGGTGTAACTGCTTACAAAATCAAAAGATTGGAATATCTAGTACAACAACAGGAGGCACATACCCTAGTAACTACAAATTTGGTCCTAACTCAATTTTGATAAAAAAAAAGTGGGTTACTAGGTTTTGCCTTTTGACGGGAGTATTGTGGCCTTGACTACTTATTCTTTACAGATTCATAGACAAGCAAAACAGCACGTGAAACAACGGAAATCTGTGATATGATACATGAATTGGACTAAGGTTAATAAACACATTTGTCATATGCCATTTTCATGGTCAGGAATGGAGTGTGTTTGTTGACCAAATTTGGCCTGGGTGACATGGGTGACTAATCACATAATTGATTTTAGAAATCTTGAAATAGAAAACGCCAGATCTATGCGGCGACATTTCAGACATCATGTAGATTTCTAGAGAAGAGATGTAAATTCGTTGGGAGATTCCGTTGAAATTCAAGAGACACCATCTTGATTCAGAATGCCCGGTTAAGTCGTTATAGAGCCATATAAGGTAGTGAGTTCCGTCGGTAAACTCGTTCTACTAAATGGTGGGGTTGAGAGAGTAGAGAATGGCTTTATTTTAATCTATGCTTGTAACCTATGTATCCAGTGCTTGACATAAAATGTAGAAACGAACTGTTAGATTCTTATTTCTGTGTGGAACCATAATTTGAGTAAGTTGTAAATTTACAACTTTTAAAGTGGACTCCTAAGTGAAGAATTACAAATGATCACAAGGCCATTAAAATATGTAGCAGAGAAGAGAGTATGTGTCACACGTTGGATGTGGGGAGTTTTGGCATCTGTACTTTCCACATCTGACCAGCGACGCACAGCACTGCATAGTGCTACATTAATCATGATCATGGAATCTGGAAATTGAGGTTGTGTCGACTTTTAAAGTGAAACATAACCTAACTTCACAGGCCTGCTCAGTGTACACAATTTAGTGTCCAGCCTTATTGTACACTGTACAGAGCATGGCCCTTAAATACACATTTTATAGTCGGACCTTAAAGATACCTCCCCGCGTATAAACTGTGTGATTTTATGATACATTTGGACAAAAAACATATTCAAACTAATTAATCTATCAAAAATTTGCTTCAAATACCTCTCAACTTTGTATTCGCGAGGAGATAACTCAAGCTATAAAAACCTATTTTTTGAAGCCATGTCTGTCACCTAATTTTATTTGTCAATACTTACTATCTATTTACTATATTGAGTATATTCTAGAATTATTTTTCTGCCAACTTCTTTTTCCGCCGTTTAATTGTAGAGTCTGTTATACGTCTACACCCCTCTACACCCAAAACCGCCAAACCCATTCGATCAAAAAATGACAAACCGTCGCGTTGCCAGTTAGTGATACCCTGACATTTTTACCCTGACATTTTTGCCCAGTGCTTGCCCCATGGGTGTTTTTCGGGTAATCCAGTATTTTTCTAGTAAGATTGGGTGTCTATACTTTCCATATATACCATACTTTTATTGGCAATAACCACCCATACATAGAACAGAATCTGACATTCGTGTACACTGTTTGCTCTATAAAGTACACATTTTAAAGTTTGACCGTGAACCCTGTGCATAGGCCTTTTTATAGATAACCTATGGTCTGGCCTTTGTATACACCTAACTTTGTTTCTAAGATCAATTTGCTGTTTAGAGTCTGATCCTTGTGTACTCAGTTCAGTTTACTTATTTTTTTTTTTTTTGCTTTCTGTCGATTTTTTGTTGATGTTTCAGATTTTGTGCCCAAATAATCCTAAAACTAATTTAGATAATGAAACGTCTGTAATATTAAGATATACGATACATACCCACGGCAACGACGAGTGTATACACGTTTCCCAGCTTACTAAGGTAACCGGACATTTGACATTCTGTAATACCATTTCAGCAGCTTCCGGATCCACATGGAAATTGAATTCTGCAGATAAACTGACGTTTCCTTTTCCTATTAGAAAATTACATTGGCTAATTATACACTTATGGCTATTGACAAATACCGTACTCAAGTCATTAGAGATAATTTTTGATTTTTGATTATTGTGTTTGCCGATTAGGACCCATTATATTTCTTATGTTTATATATAATCATATATTTATAACATGATAAGATTGCTATAGATTTATTTTATATAACATCATATAGTATTTTCAATGTTTATTATAATTATATAGATCTATTGTATATAACACCATAACATAAGTATTTTCAATGTTTATTATAGAGAGAGAGAAAAAAAAATGTGGTTTAACGTCGACTCGACACAAACTAGGTCATTTCGGGACTAACACATGGTTTAATTTTATTTCAATAATTCGCTTGAGCGTAGGGGTCTTTAGCAGTGGGAGGAAACCGGAGGACCCGGAGAAAACCCGCGAGGTTGGACAGGCGACCCTACTCCTGGTCACGTACAACCGGGGATTCGAAACCACGCCAGTTGACTCAATGACAGGCCTTATGATACAGCACGTGCGTGCTAACCATTCGGCCATCCAACCCTATCAACATGATAAGATTGCTATAGATTTATTTTATATAACATCATATAGTATTTTCAATGTTTATTATAATTATATAGATCTATCATATATAACACCATAACATTAGTTTTTGTCCTCTTTTTTTCATAATTTTAAGGTCGATTTTATAACGAAATGAAATGTGGTTCACACGGGGATAAAAGGGAGACTACCCGAACGACAATACGTTGTCCCTAGCCAGGCCCCATGTCCTGCACCACTGACAAGGGGAGACCACGCCGGAAAATCCACACGAACTTTCTCCGTCAACACTGGAATCGAACACGAGAGAGGTTTGCAAGCCAACGTCTTATCCGCTGTGCGACCGTGACTCCCTATCATATCGTCTATGTTTTTTTTTTATAATTAAGGAATTTTATAACATAATAAATGTTTCCAAATATCGCTGACTTAGTTAAATATTGTATGCACCCATAGGCTGCCATTTTAGTGAAATGAAATAATATGGGGTTTAACGTCCTACTTTTCTGCACCGACAGGGCTTAGCTAACGAAGACTTCCATATTAGCCATACAGTGTACTATGGGAGACATTTTGGTTTAACAGCGGCACTCCGGCCTACTCTATGGAGTTCCAAGTGTCAAAGGTTATTTTACGTGCACGCCAATGTGTACACGGTACCTTTATTTTTCGTCCCATCCGAATGACTATACGTTATCCATTGCCAGGTCTTTCGCCCTCATTGACAATACCACCGGGATCTAACACTGGACCGCCAGGTTAGCAAACAAACGTCTTACTCATGGAGCTACCACCACTCTCCCACCATTTTAGACATCATTTTAGATAATTTAATATTAGATTGGCATGTACACGGTCTGTGATATTCAAAGAATTTACCTTCAATATTTCCACCCATTATCAACATCTCTTTCAAATTCTCACCAAACTTTTCATCTAGTTGTAAAGCTAGAGCTACATTAGTGAGTGGAGCTAAGGCCACCAGAGTTATCTCGCCTGGAAAACAGATACAGATCAAAATATGGACTTTTCCCAATCAATATAAACAAAACCAGTTTTAATTAAAAGCAAAGGCGGATATGTGTTGGGGGAGCAAAGATGTGTATCTCTCCATTTTTTATAGGCATTTTGTTGGGAGATGGGATGGAGGGGGGTCAATATCCAATCTGATTAAGACACAGATCCTATTTCGTTTCCTTTTTTATAGTTCAAAATTCCGTTTTACTTGTCTTTACTACACTAGGGTCTGGAAGAGTTGTTATATTACCGGCGTTTTGGTTGCAATTAGGGATAAGCCAATGAAACGATCTGTCACGGCGATTTCTTGGTGTGCCATTCACGGAATTGTGGGTAAACCACTAGAAACGTCAACGCTGATTGATAAATCAATGTTTGACGTCATAGGGTCAAAAGCCGCTCGTACCACCCCTGACACGACCTTCGAGGCCATCGAAAGTATAAAAAAAACGAAACGAAATATAGATCTGCATTTTAATTAGATTGGGTCAGTATATATCTTCACTACAAGAGAACCGCCTATCGGGATTGACACGGTTATAAACTATTATTATATTGTCCTGTCAATAAATTTCTCAATTATACACTTGCAATGTCATGCCTGTCGGAACACCTGGATTTGTGGCTTTTCTTCGGGTTTGGGGATTTTAATTTAGACCCCAAAATAGACTCGGGTCTTGAGTCATCATTTATAATTATTATTTTAAGGGAGAAAGGGAGAAATGGGGTTTAACGTCCACTCGACACAAACTAGGTCATCTCGGGACTAACACATTTATTTAAATAATTCGCTTGCGCGTAGGGGTCTTTAGCAGTGGGGGGAAACCGGAGGACCCGGAGAAAACCCACGAGGTTGGACAGGCGACCCTACACCTTGCCACGTACAACCGGGGATTCGAAACCACGCCAGTTGACTCAATGACAGACTTTATGGTACAGCGCGCACGTGCTAACCATTCAGCCACCCAACCCCCCTATTATTTTAGTTTTGTTCAACCTACTAGGACACAAATTAAAGTAACTAAGTATATAACTCAGTATTATCCAAAGTCTTCGAAATTGAAAACACGAATTATTTGTCAATTTAAACCAACATTGATGTTGTGGTCTTAACTGAAAAAGATGGGCTTCTGATATCCAATATTTAAGACAAAATAAACATTTTACCATTGGTACTCAAATCGTGTACCATAATGCGTTTCAGCGCCATTTGTAACAAGGGGCTCGAAGAACGGGGCTAGACATATCACACAAGTCATGTCAAAAGGTGACATCATATTCTTATCTGGAGAGCATACGCGATACATTCTATCGGTGTAGACTTGAATAACCTGACGCTAAAGATTGCCATTGGATTGAGACTTCTGGCGTATTTTGCCGAACATAACTGATTTGAAATTAGAGTAAGAACGGAAACGATTAAATGTTAATCAGTTTATATACATTCATATTACATTATTATATGCGTTGCAACCCACTTGGTCAATTTCTAGGTCCCAAATGTTAGCGATTTAGCTCCTTTATTAACTTATAACATATAACATATTTTAGCTTGAACTCCACCGTATTCGCCGTATTACAAAATATATACAAATAGCTTTACATTTCCCCCATTGTTGACCTCACCACTCGGTCATGATGACGTGACACAGTGGACGTGTGGTAGAATTCATTATGTGGTTACTCTTAATTACCATAACTGTACTATCTATCAGGTTGGGATACAGAAATAAAATGAAATGGGGTCAAATGCCTTACTTTTCTGTTCCCACTGGTCAAATGAAGATGGGCATACTCTATGCAGTGTGCTATGAGGGAATTGTTGCCGGAAAAGCAGCGCTACGGTCTAATCTTATAGCGATTGTCCTTGTCAAGGCCTCCATCCTGCGCCACTGACAAGGGAAAACCGCGACGGAAAAGCGGGAAAACACCCAGGAACTTTCTTTGACAACACCGACCGGGAGCCATGGAGGTGTATATATTGACACCTCTATGCCGGGAGCGAACCAGCGTTGATCACACTTACATGTATATAGCAAATTTGTTTTTCCCCCAAGGGAAAATTACGACTGAAAATCCCGAGGAACTTTCTCAGACAACACTGACCCGGCGAGAAACAACTTCTAGTGAACAGGTGCTTTCAGCAGTGAGGCAGCGTAATTTCCCTTAAAACACGCATGCGCATACTAAAAGAAGAATGCCTCCAAATAAAACAAAGAAAGAACCTTTACCTGGACTTTGGTTAACCAATCTGATTAGAGCTTGAACGGCATGTTCTTGTTGTATTAAACTAGTGTCTATTTCACCTTCCCATGTCACGTCACCGAGTCCATCCTTACCATGAAAATGGCGAGCGTGTTCTGTTTTTGAAGTTGGAAGGAATGGTTTATATGCGCCTTTATATACGGGTATCTATAATAAACGATGCCGGAGAACTGCACAACAAAATACAGACAAAACAAATAATTCAACAATCGCTGGGGGGCACAAGACCTTTTAAATATCTATGATATTTGACACGTGCTGCCAGGCATTAGATTCTCTATAAATGAAATAAAATGGGGTCCTACTTTTCAGCAGCATCCTGCAATATACAAGAACAATTGTATTTCCCACACACCCTTCATAGATCTTTTTAATGGGTTCTTTTACGTGCAAGTAAACAATAGCACAGTTTTTCGTCCAATCCGAACGGGGGGGGGGGGTCACGGTGGCTAAGTGGGTAAGGCGCTGGCTCGCTAGCCTGGAGGTCAGGTGTTCGATTCCTGCATTGGCCGAGAAAGTTCATCCAGATTTTCCGGCGTGGTCCCCCTTGTCAGGGATGCAGGAAGGAGGGCCTGACAAGGACAGCTATCTAGTCGTTCGGATGGGACGGAAAAACGAGGTCCCGTGTACACATTAGCGTGCACGTAAAAGATCCCTTGACAGTTGGAATTGGATATAAGAGTAGGCCATAGTGCCGCTGTCCGGGCAAAATTTTCCTTATAGCACACTGTATGGCGTATGCCCGTCTTCATTAGCTCAGTTCGGAGCAGAAAAGTTGGACGTTAAACCCCATTTCATTTCATTTCCAATCCGAACGACTAGGCAGTAGCGCCACTGTGCGTGCAAAAGTTCACCCATAGTACACTTCATGGCGTATGCGGTCTATTTTCACAAAAAAACGTTCAAATAACGGTAAAGACAAATTTCAAAAAGTAATTATGAATTTTTAAGGAAATTTTCACTGTATTCTTTAGGTTTATAACTCAAGAGGAAGTATATGCAAAAGCCAAACAGCCCTCTTAAAATTAACAAAAATTTAACAAAATCAAATTTGTAAGAATGCCTTTTCAGTTATTACCATGTAAAAGATCATGTAAACAGTAAAGACATAACAGAAAAGACAAAAATTCAAAGTCATTAATTTGACTCCAGTTGTCCTAATAAATGTTTGAACACCATTAGAAAGAATAAAAAAGCGATAACGGATTAGAATTTTAACAAAATAACTTTTGTTTTGTCTATCTCAATGCAAGAAGTCTTTTCCGTTATCATTATTTATAAGAGAAAATACATGCTTTGACTGTCTGAATTCATTCTATTCACAATGCTTAAACATGCATGATATTGAAGGAGCTAAATCGCTAACATTTGGGACCTAGAAATTGACAAAAGTGGGTCGCAACGCATATAATACTGTAATATGAATGTATATAAATTGGTTTACATTCAATGGTTTCCGTTTTTTACTCCAATTTCAAATCAGTTATGTTCGGCGAAATAAGACAGCAGTCTCAAGCGAGTGCAAATTTTTAGCGTCTGGTTATTCCAGTCTACATAAGCCGTTTGATTTGGTACAAGTTGTCTAGCCTCGCCCCTCGAGTCTCTTGATACAACTGGGGCTAAAGCGCATTATGGTACACGATTCGTGTACCAATGGTAAAATGTTTATTTTGTCTTAAATATTGAATATCAAAAGCCCATCTTTTTCCGGTAAGATCACAACATCAATGTTGATTTAATTTGACAAATAAATCGTGTTTTCAATGTTGAAGATTTTGGATGATATTCAGTTAGAGACTTTAACAGAGTATTTTGACAACCTTGTTCCCAGGTTTTCTGAGTGAAAACCTCTCCATGATCAGTCAGTGTTTAATGTCTTGGAACAGATCAACAGAAAAGACATACAATTTGTGCGACAACCATGTGCGAACAACTTAATGGTTTGAATTTTCCTTTCTATAAACTGTTTCTTTCTATTATGCGGGGTTTTCCTGCTTGACCATAACCCTGTCTTTGATTTAATAGTGAGACCTAGTAACATACTTGATAATGGGGCATATAGCCCATGTGACAGACCTCAGATTTTGGAGTATTATTACCAATTTGATGAATAAATTTTACCATGATTTTCAGTTAATATGGTTAACTCGCTAACAAAGCATTAACGAAAAGGACAAATTGTTCTCAAAAACTTGACAGAAATAATATTTGATATAGCTGATTTCTATTTCTTCTTTAAATAGCTAATAGGACATTTTATTCAGCTCTATTGGATGGCCAATTGAAGGGCACTGTAATTTTTACTGACCTTTCAATTTTAAAAGCAGATTTTCAAGTTCAAAGTTGAGAATGGGAAATTTAACCACCTAACGGAATGAATGGACATTTTGACAACATAATGTGATATACTGATTTTATTTTGAATAATAACCTTGTCAAAATATTTTCCGAAAGAAGGGACTTCCATGCTGATTTACTGTTGCGAAAATTTTATATCATATATTGCGTAAACCGTTTTTGTTTTTCGTTATTTGTACGTTTTTCTGTATAGCCCATGCCTGTTTTCATTAATTCGCTTTGTGCAGAACAGTAGGACGTTAAACCCCATTTCATCTCTATAAAAATATTTATCAACAGGGCTGTGATGCACTCACCTCCAACCTATCAAACGTTTTTAAAACTCTCAGCGTATTTCTACAAACGTTTGTTATATCTACGTTACCATTAACACATGTTATAGCCACAATGTCAAACACCTCTTGTTTGGACAGAGCAAACATGATGGCCACAGCATCATCGACACCCGTATCCACATCTATTATAATCTTCTTCATCTTCGTATTCCTCTTACTGTAACTGTTAATTGCTTTACTATGGCTGTGTCGTTTACTGATCTACAAAAGAATATGATAACCTTTTAGGAGAGAGAGAGAAATGGGGTTTAACGTCCAATCGACACAAACTAGGTCATTTCGGGACTAACATTTGGTTTAATTTTATTTACATAATTCGCTTGCGCGTAGGGGTCTTTAGCAGTGGGAGGAAACCGGAGCACCCGGAGAAACCCACGAGGTTGGACAGGCGACCCTACTCCTTGCCACGTACAACCGGGGATTCGAAACCACGCCAGTCGACTCAATGACAGACTTTATGATACAGCGCGCGCACGCTAACCATTCAGCCATCCAACCCCCCGATAACCTTTTAGGAAAAGACTGTATAAAAAATAAGATTGGGTAGCTCCTGGATAAATCATATTCTTATCATCAAATGCTATCACTCCGCGACACGTTGTGATGTCAACAATTATATGAAAAAAATATGAAAATATTCTTGAATATTCTAAGTAAATAACTGAAATAAGTTACTTGGATTCTGGCTGTTCTCAAAATACTTGTAAATCCACCTTGCGCTCTGCACAATAAAGTTATCATTACACTGAACGACACACTCCGCTCTCCACAAAATGAAATGTCTCATAAAACAAGACTACAATAGCTTCCGCGTTGACACAAACTGCAAGCATGGCATAGATTGTATACAGCAAGCCATCTTACAAGTGCGTGTCAAAGTAACCCCCTAATGTTACAACTAGTTTTGGCGCAGTGGTATATACACGTATTATGATAATCACGTCAGTTGATTGAAATTATAACTCTGTGACCTACTGTCTTACTACTAGCCCAAAGCTAATCGGTATCTTTTTACCCTCGATTATCCAGGCTGGCGTATGACTGCACCCCAAAACACCACAGCCTCGCATGGAGATTAAACATTGGGTTGTTTTGGTATAATATAATATGATAACAGGGTGATGATCATTTTGGGTTGAGTACGGCTGAGTTATTGTTACGCAAAAATACAACTCGATTCCGGCGCAAAAATCACCCTTACATTGGACATGCACACTTCCTTTCGGATCAAAAAAATTGATATTAGAAAGTTAAATTGAAAACGAAAAATATGGAAAATGTGAATGATTGTTTCATTAAACGTCAGTGTTCAAACACTTAAGTTACATTTGCCAAAGTGGCCCTCGTCCCCAATACCAAAAATTATGAATATTTTCTTTTTTTATTTCTCGCACAAAAGTAATAGTAAGAGTGGCACAAATGTCCATGTGGCAGTGACACACGAGTATTGCTACTCATGTATGATATGATATGATCGCCAAAAATAAACTTGGATTCCATATAATTGTGTCATGTGTTATACTTATAATAATACTATGATACATTATTATATTAAAATTCTGACAAGGACAGCTGTCTAATCGTTAGGATGGTACGTAAAACCGAGGCCTCGTGTACATATTGGCGTGCACGTAAAAGATCCCTTGACAGTTGGAATTCGATATAAGAGTAGGCCGTAGTGCCGCTGTCCGGGCAAAAATTCCCTCATAGCACACTGTATGGCTTATGCCTGTCTTCATTAGCCCAGTTCGGAGCAGAACAGTAGGACGTTAAACCCCAGTTCATTACATTTCATTTCATTTATAATAATACTAGAATACATTATTATATTAAAATTCTTACAAGAACAGCTGTCTAGTCGTTAGAATGGTATAAAAACCGAAGTCCCGTGTACACATTGGCGTGCACGTAAAAGATCCCTTGACAGTTGGAATTCGATATAAGAGTAGGCCGTAGTGCCGCTATCCGGGCAAAATTTCCCTCATAGCACACTGTATGGTGTATGCCCGTCTTCATTAGCCCAGTAGGAGCAGGACAGTAGGACGTTAAACCCCATTTCATTTCATTTCATTTTTATATTAAAAATGTCTTACATACACGGGACCTCGACAGACAGAGCTGCTGACAAGACAAACTGCATAGACATTGCAAGAAATAAACAGCAAATGAATGCGGGGACCAGCCGTAAGAGTCCTCTGCGCTGTACAGTCCCGGGCCTGTAATCATACAAGCTTTTTTAAAAAAAGGGTTTATAAATGTAATGAAATGAAATGGGGTTTAACGTCCTACTGTTCTGCTCCTAAACATACGCCATACAGTGTGCTATGAGGGAAATTTTGCCCGGGCAGCGGCGCTACGGCCTACTCTTATATCGAATTCCAACTGCCAAGGGACCTTTTACGTGCACGTCAATATGTACACGGGACCTCGGTTTTTCGTCCCATCCGAACGACTAGACAGCCGTCGTTCGGATGGGAAAAGAAAGACGACATAGAAATAATGCGACCGGTCTTCACGTGTGGGCGTCTCCTGAATGACGATAGTTTGCCAGTTGTTATCGCATAGAAAAAAGACTATAATTCTCAGTAGTGAGCCGAGAAGACACTTCCAGGGGTATTTCCATTCATTCAATTGTAATTAAACATTTAACAATAAATTATATTTATAACGTGGCAAAACCTGCTGGTTGATGAAACGTAAACAAGAATATTGAAATCCGAAGTGAAGTCTAAACAATAGTTCAACGACCTGCCGCAATAATAGGAGCAGTAATCGTAACGTGACCTGTGTCCTGTAAATAGTCTCTTTTCTATCTTCAATATGTCATTATATTTTTAAAACTATAATTGTTTTTAGACATGGAAACATGTTGCTCTTTGTACGTTTAACGTCCACTCGACACAAAAAAAGGTAATTTCGGGACTAACATATTTATTTCAATAATTCGCCTGCGCGTAGGAGTCTTTAGCAGTGGGAGGAAATTGGAGGACCCGATAATAGTTATAAACTAATCACCCCTTGTCAGTGATGCAGGACGGAGGGTCTGACAAGGGCAGCTGTCTAGTCGTTTGGATGAGACGAAGAACCGAGGTCCCGTGTACAAATTGGCGTGCACGTAAAAGAAATGAAATGGGGTTTAACGTCCTACTGTTTTGCTCCGAACTGGGCTAATGAAGACGGGCATAGAGTGTACGATGAGGGATATTTTTCCCGGACAGCGACACTACGGCCTACTCTTATATCGAATTCCAAACGTCAAGGGATCTTTTACGTGCACACCAATGTGTACACAGGCCCTCCGTTCTGCATCACTGACAAGGGGGAACCACGCAGGAAAATCTGGATGAACTTTCTCGGCCAATGCAGGGATCGGCCGTAGTGCCGCTTTCCGGGCAAAATTTCTCTCATAGCACACTGTATGGTATATGCCCGTCTTCATTAGCCCAGTTCGGAGCAGAACAGTAGGACGTTAAACCCCATTTCATTTCATTTCATTTATAAACTAATCAATGATGTAATCATATTTATTAATAATCTCCAGAACCACGGATCACAATTTCGAGAGGATAATCACTCGTTGTCAACAAAACCACGACACTTGTCCTCCATCCATTATAGACCACCGTGGGACGATTATCGTCTGCTAACGGATCGAATCGATACAGTTGATTAAAGGGGGAGGAGACCATACATAAAAACCGATTGCTTTCTCATAAGAAAAATCATTTTGAATGACTCTTGGGAGTGCAGTTAATGGTTCTGTAAACGGCTATGTTTATGTTTTTACATTACTGTCACAGTGGCTTTGAATTCTAGGACTTAACTTTCTGGTTATACCATTATGCCCAACAGATCTGGTAATCGTGGATAATTGTAATTATCTAATTAAGTGTGACACATTAACACATGTGATCAAACCAAAACATAGAAATTAAGTACATAACTGACACAAAACATAAATATGTCGGTATTAAGACATGTTTTTTTGTTACTGATATTTTGTGGATATTGTAGTAGTTTGACGGAGCTTCGGATCGGTGTATTATTGATAGCAGAGACTCATTCGCCGTATACAATGGAACGTGTAGGACCAGCGGTTGATCTAGCCTTTGATAAAGTAAATACAGATATATTTAATTCAAGTTACAGAATGGTGCCAGTTAAAGTGGCCTATGATAATATCTGTAATGCCAGATACGCCACAGGTAAGGTCTAAATTTTCTTAAAGATACATTGTGTAAGATTTAGATAAAGAGCTAGTCATTCTTGCTATAATAATTCGAAACTAGATAATGTAAAATTTCAAAATTTCATTCAAATTACTTTACTGCGAGCGAAGATATTAACCTTTGAAGGTTTGACAAGACGTGTGCAATAATTTCAACCACCGTACTGGTTGTTCGAAGCTAAGTCTCGCTCCTTCATTTTAGCTTAAATATGGCTGAACTATTCTAGTCTATTAAATATCGGAGAAAACCGATGCCATCGAAAGTTGATTATGGCCTGGATAAGTTAATTAATGTCTAATTAATAATTTACAAAACATTCCAGGCCAAAAGAAAGATCAGCAATTGGCAGATTTAGCTCTTGCATAATGTATGTTTAAGTTATGCGTGTGCACAAAATGCTTGACGCAATTGTTATATTTTTTTCACTCGTTGATAAAACAAGCGTGAGTCAACCGTAATTCAACGAATTCCAGTTAAAAGTAAGATCTATATATGCAGTTACATTCTGCACGTGTACAAACGCTAGACCCGGTTGTTAATTTTTTTTTTCACTTATTCATATACAACTACCGGGATACTGGTTTCAGAATTAGAAGCTGTCATACAAAACCTGGGTCCGTATTCAAAGTTTTTCTTTAAGTGGCGTAAAATACTTAAACATGCTAGGGTTAGGGCTAAATCTCCCTATCGCAGGTCTTTCTTTAGGCCTGAAATCTTATCTAAATTATTAATTAGACATTTATTAACTTATCGAGACCATAATCAAATCTCGATGTCAAGGCTAGCCTTCGATATCGACTGGATTAGAATCCTATATGCAAACGCTCATTGATAATTTAATCAAAACAATGGGTAATTGAGACTATGCTTTTAATGTACTAACTTTAGTAATGATGAACGAGGCTAGGCGGAAATTTACAAAGCTGATATCTCGGTTCATAGTGGACCAATTTGACTGAAATTTTCAACAATTTACCTTTACATTATCCTGTTTTTAACTATTATAGCCTTAACTGTAAGCTCTTTATCTAATCTCCCATAACGTATCTTTAATTTTTCCACTTAACTAAATGTGTTACCTTAAATTGGTATTCAAAGGCTCTATTTTACATATACTTGGCTATGTTAAAACAGTTAACTGTACACTTAAATTATGGAATACACGCAAGTATTTATAACATAGAACACAAGTTATATCCCCAGAAAAACACCACTGTATTCATACTAAACGTACACTATCCGTCTACAATTAGCTCTGCTTGAGAACAGACACTAAGATAGTTAACCGACATTTTAATTCCTAAATCGACCATTTTAGTATACTCTGAGTATACTTTGATAATTTTGAGAAATATTTATTTCGCTTCAATTTAATAACATTAATATTTAGTCTTTTATGTGTTTTTGTATGGTAGGGAGTAGAACCACAAAACAGAATAGCATTCTAATTTTTGGATATGGCGGCCATATAGGGCAAAGATCTATTCTCGAAGTAGATAGTTGTCTGTGTGCAGAATGCACTCTATACTCTATTAAAACCTCAGTTGTCATTACTAGAAAATATCATATTGTAACGCATACAAATAGTATGACAATAAATTATGATAGTGCGCATCCTTTGTAGGAACAGTTGTTTTCGTAGATCTTTTAAATAATTCAATTTCAATAAATTTCAAGTGGAGTTATCAAATCCTGCTTGGTAGTTTGATGACAGATATTGGCGTTGATGGTACA